GAGCCCCCGGGGGGAGGGGACCCAGGGGGCGGGGGCTTGTTTCGAGGCTGCAGCCCCCTTCTCACCCACGGCCCGGGCCCTGCTACCTCAGGGGGAGCGACCACGGTGAGGATCTCTGGGTGACGGCTGGGGGAGGGATTCCTGGGGCAACAGAGGCAGTTTGGGGCATGGACTCTGTAGGGACCTGACGCAGGAGTCAGATGACAGCATTGTCCTGCCTTGAAGAGGGACCTAGGACAGGAGGCAGATGACCGCAAGGGGAGGGCACGAAGACTCGCCCTGCCTTGCAGAGAGGTTGAAGGATCCCGCATCTTCGATACCCTCCTGACTTCTTCACCCCTTTCGCAACCCCTAGCTGCCTGTGGAAGAACCGATCGTGTCCACAGATGAGGTCATTTTCCCACTCACTGTTTCACTGGACAGACTGCCCCCAGGGACACCCAAGGCCAAGGTGGGATGACAAACCTGGAGCTGTTGCCCTATAATTCAGACGGCATTTTAAGACCCATCTATCAGTCCTGATCATGGTCCGATGACTCCTGTACCTAGATTGTAGTGACCGTGTGGAAGCGGGAGGTCGAGGCACCAGAAGTCAGGGATCAAGGCTACCTGCGCTTGCTACAGACTCGATCTCCTGGGGAGACTTTCCGTGTTGAACAGAGCGCCTTCAAGGCCCAAGGTGGGGGAGAGCTGGAGCTTGGAGGAGAGGTAGCTGAGAGGGGCCACAGTGGAAGGGAGGAACTGTGAGGTAGAGGTCTGATTTCTTGTCTCATCCCCTCTGCAGTGAGCACCTTGCTGACGCTGCTTCCCCCTCCAGTTCTGAAATGCCGGCAGTTCACTGTGGCTGGAAAACACTTGACTGTGCTCAAGGGTGAGCAGATCTGCTGGCTCATGGCTTGAGTAGCAGCAAGGGGGTGGACTGGAGGGCTGTGATGGGTCCATTCTTCTAGGTAAAGGTGGGCTTGGGGGTGAGGGGTGTCTCACTACTCTGAATTGGGCTGGTTCTCCCACACAGTGCTGAACAGCTCTTCCCAGGAAGAGATCTCCATCTGGGATATCCGAATCCTCCCCAACTTCAATGCCAGTTATCTACCTGTCATGCCTGATGGCTCTGTACTTCTGGTGGACAACGTCTGGTGAGGTCCTGGGGAAGGACAGGGCTGTTGAGTGGTGGCGACAGAGATGGGACATGCAAGCCCATGCAGTGCCTTCCTTTCTTCTGAACTAGTCACCAGTCTGGGGAAGTCTCCATGGGCTCCTTCTGTCGGCTTCCTGGTACCTCTGGCTACTTCCCTTGTCCACTTAGTGCCCTGGAGGAACACAACTTCCTGTTTCAGCTGAGAGGGGGGGAGCAGCCCCCTCCTGGGGCCAAGGAGGTGAGCTGGCGTGTTCACGGTGATGAGAATGGTGGGAACTGGAGATGCAGTTCAGTTTAGAGTGCTTGTCTATGGAACACAGAATCGTGGGTTCTGCTGTCAGCATTGCAAGACTCAGATGTAATGGCATGTGCATGCTGCGATCCCTGTACTTGGGAGGATTGGAGGAGGCTCAGAAGTTCAAGGTCATCCCCAGCTGCAGAAGGAGTTGGGAGACAGTCTCAAAGAAAAGACAATGGAAGGGAAAGGCTATGGGCTTGAGAGAAGAAAACTGAACATGGGAAGTCTCCCTTTGTCCTGTGTGCAGGGTCTTGAAGTCCCCTTGATTGCCGTGGTTCAGTGGTCCACCCCCAAACTACCCTTCACCCAGAGCATCTACACCCACTACCGGTGAGTGTGTGGAGACCCACCGGGCACTTTTTCTGCTCACCTCTGCCTAACACACACACCCAGCTTCCTCTTCCACTGCTCCTAGCCTGCCCAGTGTCCGCCTAGACCGCCCCTGCTTTGTGATGACTGCTTCTTGTGAATCCCCTGTTCGGACCTACGAGCGGTTCACTGTCACCTACACGCTGCTCAACAACCTCCAAGACTTCCTTGCTGTGAGGCTTGTGTGGACCCCGGAACACGCACAGGCTGGTGGGTCCCTTGGGAGGGTCAGGTAAAGGAAGATTTAGGATAGCCAGAACAGTTCAAAGTGGCATCAGCCCCACCTCAGTGGGTGACTGCAGTACCCGGATGGCTGTGCTGAGTACCTGGCTAGTCATCCAGGGTCACAGATGGGGAGTTGAGATAGGCAATGGGCAGAGACACCGGATCTGTGCTTTCTGGTCCAAATTGTTACCCACTCATTGCCCAGCTGTGTGACTTTGGTAAGTTAATTCATCTCTCTGGGCTTCTATCCTCTCTAAAACTGAGGAAATAACATCTCATGGCTTTTTATGCGTATTAACGAGTTAGTGCACAATGTCGGTTAGAACAGACCCCAGCACACAGCATTAACTACCCCTGTCTATAACCCTCAGCAAAACATAACATTGACTCAGTTCACTCCACGGAGCACCATGTGAATTAAACACCTCCATGTTGGTAAAGACCTGTGGGAGCTGAGGAAAGCTGTCTAGTGTTCATGGATACCTGTTTCTGTCCCCAGGAAAGCAACTGTGTGAGGAAGAACGACGGGCTATGCAGGCAGCCCTAGATTCCATCGTCTGCCACACACCTCTCAATAACCTCGGCTTCTCCCGGAAAGGCAGTGCACTTACCTTCAGTGTGGCCTTCCAGGCCCTGAGGACGGGGCTCTTTGAGGTGGGCCCAGTGTTGGGTGGAACAGTTGGGGCTTCCTAGCTTCTAGAGGGGAAACAAATGTCTTGGGTAGCACTAAAGGCTGGGCACAGGGAAGCTGGAAGCCCAGTCCAACTTGGGTCTGTGTGAAGGTCTGCATCTTTCTACCCAGCTGAGCCAGCACATGAAACTGAAGCTCCAGTTCACTGCCAGTGTGTCCCACCCTCCACCTGAGGCCCGGCCCCTGTCTCGCAAGAGTAGCCCCAGCAGCCCTGCTGTCCGGGACCTGGTGGAGAGGCACCAGGCCAGCCTAGGCCGCTCTCAGTCCTTCTCCCACCAACAGCCTTCCCGTAGCCACCTCATGAGGTAAGGACCTGGACTGGTGTCAGTGTGACCAACAGGGGTGCTGGGAGGGATGCTGCACCCCCCCCCCAGAGCCCACAGTCTCTGTCTTCTCCCAGGTCTGGCAGTGTGATGGAACGCAGGGCCATCACACCCCCTGTGGCCTCCCCTGTGGGTCGTCCCCTCTACTTGCCCCCGGACAAGGCTGTGCTTTCTCTAGACAAGATTGCCAAGCGCGAGTGTAAAGTCCTGGTGGTAGAACCCGTCAAGTAGCACCAATCTGCTTGCTCAGCTCTGTACACTCCAGAAACCCTAAGCCCCCGGAGGGCTCCTTGTTCCTAGGCTGTGCCTCCCACTGTAGGCAGAGAGGCCATGCAGGGCTGCCTGTCTGTGTCTGCTGGTGAGAGATGAGGGCAGAAGCTGTGAAACGGCTCGGCCAACAGTAGTCCCTGAGTTCCCGTGGGGGGGCTGGCCCCACCCCAGCAGGGCAAGGGCTGCAGGCGCCCCCTTGCCCCATCCTTTACCTTGTCCCGAGTTTACAGTGTATTTCATTCCTGTTCAATCCTCTCTGCCTCTGAAGTCCCCTTCCACCCACCCACAGGGCTGAGATTAGAGGGTGGTAGTGGTAAAGGGACCCCGACAATGACTCACTCTCCTGTCTCAGGGGTTGGGGACATAGCTAGGTGGCCTCTTTCTGCCCCTCATGTTTACGTTGGCAGCCTAAAGCACTTTAAGTTCTGTTTTCTTGGGTTTTGTTTTTTTGTCTGTTCCTGTAACTTATTCTCTGACTACATCATCCACCTGAAATAAAAGTATTAAAAGCTGTTCAGGAGGGAGTATGAATACTGTCTATGTGTTGACCACAGGGGAGACCGCCTTCAGTATACAAATAGTTGCCTTCTTATCCACTTTGGTTTTTTTGAAACGCCCTAGATTGGCCTTGAAACTACTATGCAGCCCCCCAGGCTGTCTGACACTTGCTGCTCCTGACTTGCATCTCAAGTGCTAGGATGACAGATGTGCACCACACCTGTCTCCAGTTCGAAGTTGTATGATGCCTGGTGGTGGTCTTGTCGCACTGATGGACTGAGAGGTATGGCTGTCTCCATAAACGGTGGAAGACAGGCACACAGTGTGACCTCAGACCCACCCAAACAAAGCATCCTATGCACACATCTTGAGCCCTACAAGGGTTGGTCTGCTGTTTATTATGCAGAAGGGCAGAAAGGAGGGGATCCTCTTGCCATAGTTTCCCTTAGCATAGAAATCGCTAAGCCTTTGTGCCTTGAGTGGGGGTGAGGAGGTAGCAAGCACAGGCCCAGTTCCAGCAGCGAGAAAGGTCTAGAGGACTGTGTCCTCTGTCACAGGCCCTAGCGACAGACCACTTCTCCAGCCAGTGCCTTCTGCAGCTCAGACATCAATAGGTTCCCGGCCTCGGTTCTGCCTCTTCACCACAAATACCCTCTGTCCAGACACAGTCACTAGCAGCGTGTGTTCACCAAAGACCACTGGAAAGGGAAGGAAGCAAAGTTAGTGTGTGCAGTGGCCTCCATGGGGTCACAGCAAAATTGGCTGGGATGGGACAAAGTAATTATGCAGTTCACAGGGGAGAGGTGGCCGTGAAAACCCTTTCTCATCCTTATTACTGAAGGTAGCAGTTGAACCAGGGACCCCAGGAGGAATTGAGAGTCAGTGGGACGGTGGCAGATATTCCTTCCCTAAGCAGAGAAGCCTGTAGAAGCAACCCTCCCCATACCTCCACCAAAAGCAGGAGCTCACCAGACAGGCGCTTGAAAGGGACGTTTGTGCCATGGTGCAGCCGGAAGCCACAGGCTGTGCTGACCAGCTCTGAGATGGTACTGGCTGCCTGCTCATCGTTCTCAAGGTCCCCAGATGACTGCATGTGGATGGAGGAGGGTAGGGGCAAAAAGTAAGAGCCTAGAGTTTGGAACAAACTCAAGGCACAGGCCATCAGGCTCCCATACCCATTAGACCTCCCATAGTCCTAAGTTGCCTGCATTGGAAAAATTCTACCCAAAGCTTCTTTATGACGGTGTTGCCTTCCCTTTTGCCATCCTGTTCCTTGTCCTGAAATACCAACTTTTACTTGTAACTCTACTGCTATCAATGCTGTGAATCAAATTTGGGAGTGTTCATTAAATGATCTACCATACCCCCAGCCTCTCTAAGCAGGTGCTCTACCACTGAGCCACACCACTAACCCTTCACCTAGGATTCCTGGCAGATGTCCCAACTCTGAGCTAACTGCCCAGTCTTTAGAGGCTCCACCTGTTCCCAGTCTTCCCACTTGTTGTCCTGTCTGTACGCTATGAAGCAGAAACACCCACTTTATCTTGAAGCTTTCCCTCAGGCTACTCCTGGGATAAATGATAGGACAGTAGTCCAGACTGCCTCAATTTTCTCTTCCCACAACCTCTAAGTGGGTCCATTAACTAGGCTTAGTTCTTTTTGCTCTCAGTTTCCCCATCTGTATATTGGGGTGAACAGGACCTATTTTATGTATGGGCTTGTGAAGGTTTCATGAGAAAACATTGAGAGCATTATGTACCCCATAATAAATGTTGTATGTAAGTTTATCAGTCCACCTTAAACTCAGTATCTACAGCCAGGCCATCAAATTTTCCCTTAGCCACCTCCTTGGTCAGATTCCTTTCTTGAGTTCTTATTTATTCAGGCACCATAGTATTTTTCTGGTCTTCCCAGTTCAAAGTCTTACTGGATGAGTAATGTACCTGCAAAAGTGCTTTCATCTAGTTACTACCAACACATATTAACACCTCTAAGATGTATTCTCTGGGCTGTGGAGATGGCTTAGTGAATAAGAACACTTGCTGTACAAGCAAGAGGACCTGAGTTCAAATCCCCAGTCAGGCATGGCCACACTTGTAACCCCAGCAGTATACAGGCACAGACAGGTTGATTGCTGGGGCTTGCTCAGGGCTGCCAGCCTAGCTCCAGGTTTGAGAAATAAGGCAGAGAGTGCTAAGAGCAGGACTCCAATGCTCTGTACCGGCCTCAGCACATGAATAGGCACACATGTCTGTGCACTTGTGCAGACACACACTAAAAGACAGATACTGTGTTCTGTCCGTGTTCCTTATTGCTACCAGTCTACTTTCCTACCTAGATGACACTCCTGGAACAGTCTTGTAAAACCACTTGAGTGAGTCATGTTTTATTTAAATAACTCAAGATTCATCTAAAGATGTCAACGCTAGCCATAGGAAGTCCTTCACTGTAAGGTTCTTACCACACCATTCTTTCTGCTCAAACCATTTCAACAGAAAGCCACAACTAATCCAGACAGGGCCAGACACACTCAAGCAATTATGTCGAGGGTTCCAAGCCCTAAGTATGCTTTTCCTCCTTCACGGCCTTCTGCCCCTTGCAGCTCAGCTCAATTCCTGCCTCTAAAGGATTCTTGCCATAAAAAAAAAAAAAAAAAAAAAAAAAAAGTTCTAGGGGTAGGTGAAATGGTTCAGAGCATAAAAGTGCTTGCCTCAATGCCTGAAGACCTGAGTTCAAGCTTCAGAATCCACATGTTGGAAGCAGAACTCACTCCTTGAAGGTTGTCCTCTGACACCCACCGGCTGTGGCACCCATATGCGACCCCATGTGAGTTTTAAAGATATACTGAATAAAAACATACTACCAAGTGATTAGTTAACAGCAAACTAATTGTATGACTTTAGAAAAGTTGGTAAAAAATGTTTTGAGGCAAGGTTACATGTAGCCAAGGATTACCCTGAACTTCAGCCTGTCTTCACCTTCCAAGGTTTTGTGCGTGCTAAGCAAATTAACTCTCTCCACTGAGCTACACACCCAGCTAGCCCTTTGGTAACAAACCTCTTTTATACCATAAAACAAGAGACTTGGATTCCAGACACTAATTACTCAAGCAGGGAGCCAGACAGAGGACAAAAATAGACCACTGGGACAAACTGGGCAATATGTGAAGGGATTTCTGGCTGTGTATCCCAAAAGGACAACCCCCCGTCCCACCCCGAGCCGTGCGCGCACGCCTCGCTTTCCCACAACGCACCGCCAGTACGGCACCTTCGCTCAGCACCAGGTAGCCAAGCTGGTCTGGGATTCGCTCCAGCCCCTGGGTCAGTGCGGAAGTCTAGTGGGTAAAGAGGCAAGGGGTGAGACGCGTGACAGCCTTGCAGACCCATCCTCCTCCGGGATATGGCCCTTCTACACCCCCCAAGCGGCTTGTAACACTGCGTCCCCACCCGCGGTCATACTGGACCCCGAGCTCTTCCACTTGGCTCGTAGGAGACCCAGGAGGCCTTCCTAGCCCCCTAGTCCCTCCTCGGGGCCCTTCTCGCTCCAGATCCTTGTGCTCCACCCCTTGTGCCATCTAGGCTATTCCCCAGCCGCAGAACACCCAGTGGTAGAGCCTTCTCCATCCCTCTCCGTCGCATCCCTCCCATCTCCGTTCCCTTTGGATCCCAGGAGGTGACAGCGGAGTTCGGGCCATAAGGGGGCAACCGAAGCTTGGGGAACCGGGATGCGGAACCCTAGCGGCGCACGCCCGCGCATGCGTCCTCACTCACCATCGCAGCCGTAGATGCCCGGGGCGCTGGCTACGGGGTAGGTAGCTTCCGGCCCAGGCTCGAGTCATGTGGTTTCACGAGCGGACGCCAGCCCAGCCCTTCGCGTGCCGATTGGAGGGCGGGTGCGTCATCAGACTTCATCCACCACTGTGGAACGCCGCTCCCTAGACGCACTGGCGGATTGGTTGCATTTTCCCCACCCGACAAGAGAGTCAGCGTCGGCGAGTTAGTGGGCGGGGCGGGACATTCCCCACCTCCCGCTCTACGAATGTGCGCATGTGCGCCCAGGGCTCAAGCGCCGAAGAGCAGAAACTGGAGCAATGTAGTGGTGTAGGAGGAATTCTCCTTAGGTGTCCCGCTTCAATCTGGAACGAGAAACTAACGTGAAAGACGATGGGTTGCTGTTCACAGGTTACTTTTCTGTCTTGAGGAGGCTCAAGATCGAAGTTACCCAAATATGAATGTGTAATTAAATTATGTGCATACACACAATAGCATATGATCAACACAAGGGAATAAAGTCCCGGCATACAATGTAGCGTGAGAATCTCGAAAATATGATACAAGATGGAGAAAGCAGGCTGGAGAGAAGGGCTCCAGAGACCACTCAGCTAAATAGCGAGTTCAAAGCCAGCCTGAGGCCTGAGCTACCTATCAGACCCTGACCAATATACATACATTTCTGGCAAATCCACAAAAACTGGAAGCATATTAGCGGTTGGTAGCAGGGCGAGAGAACATAGGGAGTGACTGTTGATGAGTGTGGGTTTTTTTATATATATAGATTTTATTTAAATTAGAAACAATCCTATTTTACATATTAATCCCAGTTCCCTCTCCCATCCTCCCATGTCCCTCACCACCTCCCATCCCCCATCCACTCCCCAGGGAGGGTGAGACCTTCCATGAGGGAACATCAAAATCTGTTAAGTCATTTGGGGCAGGGCCTAGACCCTCCCCTGTGTGTCTAGGCTGAGAGAGTATCCCTCCATGGGAAATGGGCTCCCAAAGTCCATTTGTGCACTAGTGATAGATCGTGCCAGAGGCCCCATAGACTTCCCAGTGCTCCTGACACCCACGTTCAGGAGGCCTGGTTTGGTCCTATGTTGGTTCCCCAGCTGTCAGACTGGGGTCCATGAGTTCCCACTTGCTCAGGTCAGCTGTTTCTGTGGGTTTTCCAGCGTGGTCTTGACCCTTTTGTTCATCACTCCTCCCTCTCTGAAACTAGATTCCAGGACTTTGGCTCAGTGCT